AGCTTCAAAATCAGTGACTAGTTCCATATACTTTCTAACTTCTAATATGCCGAGGAAGCAAAACATAAAGTTGTTTTACAAAGTTGTTGCACATTATATCCCTTTTACCTGGTAGCCCAAAATGGGGGTTGTCAATGTGTACCCCCGGGTACTTGAGAAGGCCCTAGGGGGTACGCATGGGTGGGTGGGGATGGAGCACCGCCCACCTGGCTGGACACTGGTGTGGGACAAAAGAAGCTTACATAGTTCTGCTGCATCACATCTGGCCCCTGGGGGTACACTGATCCAAAAGGATTGAAAACCCTTAGCCTAGGATAACTGGAGAAGGCAAGATGCTGATCTTCACTCAAATCCTGGATGAATTGCCTAACTGGAGTATTGCACTTTGACCCTGTCATGTGACAAAGGAAATAGTTGCTGAATAGTTGCTCACCAGTTTTTGCTGCAAATAGTACAGTAGGACCAGTCAGTGTAGTTAACTTTTCTACAGAACAGGAAAAGCAGCTTTGAAGCAATAACACACTTTTTCCCTTTTGGAAAAACAGCTTGAGACCAGTTTAAGAGATTAAACTTGTTTTAAAATTCTTAACCTGACTTTTACCCTTTACACTTATGAATCCAGTGTCTTGGGGGCAAATCTCTTAGTCTGTTGGAGAACGGAGGAGGAACCACAGCTGTTGCCTATGAAAAACAAATGGGCTATCCATAGGACCTTAAGACACAATTTTTTAAAGGTACAATATGCTACAAAAATCCAGGTCATCCCATTTAAATTTATTTTATTAGATTTTGCTAAGAAATATGAAAATTACTAGATTCTTTTTACTATTAGAGCCATAACAAAACCAACTGCTTTTATAATCCTAGAAAGTTGTGGTTTATAGAAGATAGATGCAAAAATTCTAGGATGTTGCCTAGTACTATCAGAGCTAATCAATACTGCATTACTTTTACTGAAGCTTAAAATACTGGTTAAAATACATAACTTTTCTAATTGCTAGGTAATAAGGTTGCTCTTCATATTTTTGAGACCTAGCCAGTCATCTGTCATGGAAAGTAGAATGAGTCTTATTTGGCTGAGCTAAGGAAGAGCATGAAGTAATAAATAGAAATGTTTTACCATGAGCTTTCTGTTTTAGAGTTGACAGTTTTGCTGTCTTATGTTACCTGAACCTCATCTCTTATTCTTTCATTATTTCCATTGTGTTGGGAATATGAATTTTATGTAGCACAACTTCTGATAAATCAAAAACATAATTGGAGAATTAATTCTTGGAGGGGTTAGGCCTGATATTCTTTAGGCATGCCAGGGAAAACAGACACAGTATGATATAAGAATTTCAAAAGTCCATTTATGGCCATGGTATTTACTTCCTTGCTCCTTCGATGGAAATTTTGGTGCCAACTAGCTTCAATGAACATGTATAAGTGAAAGATTAGGGTTCTTGTTTGTTAGATTCTGCCATATGAAAATACGGAAAACTATCAGCCATGGTTCAGTAAGCATTAATGCCAACTGTCGCATTGAACAATTTTAGCCCTAAAAACAATGGTAGGAGTAGACCTACAGGTAAGAACCTTGAGGTGATTGCACATAATTGCCTATTTGTCAAGTCTTCAAGCATGTCAGTCAGCTTTTATTTATGGAGTTAGGGCCTGAGAAGACAGTTAAGTTCCAGAAGTCTGCAGAGCAATAGACTATTCTGCAAATAAGTGACATTTTAAGAACTTTTTTTTCCCTTAAATTGGAATTATGGAGTTTATCAGTGCTGCTTCATGTAGAGATCATGGATCTCTTGTGAGCCCATAAGCACACTAGTTTGGAAAGTTGGGAATTAGATCAGGAGATCTGTCAGGGACCTTAATAGGCAGAATTTGCTATTTTTTCTTTTCAGTAATATTGATCGGGCAGATCCCTTAAAGAAAGCACAACTTCATTGTTAGATTTGGACAAAGCATCTTGTTGGTAGCAACAGGATTGGCAGCATGGACCAAAGCAAGTTAACTTGACCATATATGACGCTTTTGCCATGTAAAACTATCACATTTTACTCATGCTGTAGGAATGAAAAATATGTTTTTTTGCATTCCTTTTGCAAAATTTGACTCCCAGCCATGCCCCGTGAGAGTTTTCTTATCTCTAAATTGGATGCAACAGTTGTAATACAGATGTGATGAGTCAAAAATTTTACAGTAAATCTTTGGTAGACCTGGGAAAAAACGCTTTAAGTCATGAACTGTTGGCTGCATTCGCTAAGTAGAAGAAAAAACTTCGAGTACAGTAGCACCATGTTCTTGTAGAAAAGGGGTAGTCAGAATGCACTGAAGGTGTAAAAAAAAGTGACTGAGTTCATCCTACTTAAACTAGGATTTTCAAGTACATCTATGGGTGTTGGACATCCCACATCTATTTGAAGTCCTCTTAAATCTTTTCTGAAAATCGGAGCCAAAATAATCTGAAAGCTTTGCATGGCAATCGGTTTGCTCTTCTCCTGCCCTTTTTTAATAATGATGTTTTGGTCCAAAGTAGTATTAATGACCAAGAGTTAGATTAAATCTGATAGTTACAATCAAAATGGTTGTAAAACTTCCTTCTGCCCTCAGTTTCTTATCTTGACAGTGCTTATTTAGGTTGTATTTTATATTCTTTTAAAATTGTATATTCAAAATAATTGGGAAATCTTTTAACTATTTAGTTTGTCACTTTGCTTGCTTACTAAGAAGCGTCAGTAGTTAAAGGAAGTAGTGTCAATTGTTAAAGGACTTTTTAGTTGAATGTGATATTAACATACAATTTTCTGAAGGGAAATGCTGAATTCAGGGTTTGGAAGATAGAGATCCTGGCATTTTAGATGGTTTTGTTTAATTATATGTATGCAACTTAAACTTTCTTAAAGTTGCTGTAAATTACTTAAAGTAATGTAAATGTTAGTTTTCAAACTTTAAGGTAAAGTTGTTGAGGTTTTTTCTCTCTTTTTTTTTCATTTTACACTATCAACACTTACAGACCATTACTTAGAACTCAGGAGCCTTTTTTTTCTTTAAGCCAAATGATTTAAGAATGAACAGGGAAAAAAAAGCCTCAATCCTAGATTTCAGGAAACTCTAACTTTCTTAGCCCTTATTTGAATGACTTTTATAAATACTTAGTTTTTAAAACGCTGCTATATGACAACTGATTTGTGCTCAGAATATAGAAATTAAATGCTTACAAATACAAAAATTGTTTGCAATTTTCCAATCTGCGCTGCTGCATACTACCTTCACATATATATATATATAAAATGGTTCCCCTGCTGCAATATCCATGTCTAACAATACTGACGTAGGAGGTTGTGCGCATTATATAAGTTCAGAGCTAAAAACGAGTTTCAAATAGATATCTCTGGGGTTGCTGGGACCACAGATTAATTATATTGGACTGTTGCATGATTACTTGCAAACCTTCAAGGCAAATGTCATTTTAGCGTAATGTATTTTAAAAGAAAATGTTAGAGGTTGATGAAACATGGCTACATTGACCAAAAGAACTATGTTAAAAAAGGTTTTCACATGTTAGAAAATGTTTGTTTGACATGTTTCGCTACTATTTACAAATGTCCAAATGCTACAGTAATGGGCAGCAGTATAAAACCCTAAAATACTGTGGTAATTGGGTGCTTTTTCAATACACAGTGGATCTGGATCTAGCATGTTCAAATTTGTAATATGTTGCTGTAAATAATATTCCAGGATGTAGGCTGGAAAAGTGAGATGTCTAGAAACATAATTTGAATTAACATCTCTTCTGAGTCACTTTGGTTAGCTCTTTCAGTTTGTCTGCAGTTCTTAAGTGTTTATTATAGCAGTCTGACTTTTTTCTGGAAACATTGAATATTTGTAGTCTGATAAGAGTACTGATTAAAGGAGCAAAACATTTTATGAACTCTAATTAAATCTAAATGACTAATTCCAGAAGGTTGGGTGTTCCATTTAGTAACATTCATGCCATAGAAAGCGGTGGAGGTTTTTGCATTAGAGAGTTACCAGTATTTATTTTGTGAGCATTCACAGAAACCTGGAGGCAGGAGACATTACTGAGGGGGAAACTCCCTCAGTGTGGTCAGAGCTGAATTTGAGTGGTTTCTAGCCTTTAAATTGGTAATTGCGACAATTCACTAACATGGCATAGATCATTTTGGCAGTACAAAATAAATCTGGGTTTCTTAAAACAATTCTCTCATAAATTGTTCAATAAAATAGTGTCATTGCTCAGACATCCCTCTATAAACCAAGAAAAACAACTTAATTCTTCCTGACTGGATTTTTTTCAAGGCTGTTTGGGGAAAATTGAGGTTTGACGACACCTCCTCTTGGCAAATGGATTCCTTCTTAAGAGGGTTTTTTTAGGGGGAAAAATCCTTTCTATCAAACTCCATTGATGGAGTTTACTGTGCATGGATGCATTTTTTTCAGTTGTGTTGAAATTAGCATTTGGTAGTAAGACTCAGTTTTAATCAAACTCATCTTTACGTGTTTTCAGTTAAATGTGATCATGGGCATTCACCTTTGAGGTGGTGGGCACTTTTAACTTACCCTGAAGTTCACGGGGATTGAGGGCTCATCATTTTGCAGGATAGTGTCACTTATCTATACACAGCCCATTTGATCTTAACTTACTATGGTAATTGCATGGTCCCTGTAGCTATATAAATCAGTCTCATGTGGTGTACCTAGATGGATTTATCCTTTAAAGTCAGTTACACTTGATTTCTTCATTTGAATATCTTGTACTAATTGCAGTAAGTGTTAAATCCTCCACCACCTATAATATTATGAGGGGAAAATTCAGTTTGGACAAAACCACTGGAGCATCGTCGCCTGTTGCCATAAAGATGCATCAAGGCTTTTAAGAACTTGTGTTTATATTGAACATTTTTGTTTTGGGATTATAAGATAGATGAGTATATACACATCTATGTATTTTGATACAGTATTTTCTCATTTTATATTTTGTTCAGCATTTACAGCCGAACAATACCAGCAACATCAACAGCAACTGGCACTAATGCAGAAACAGCAGCTTGCACAAATTCATCAACAGCAAGCAAATAGTAATTCCTCTGCCAACACTTCACAGGTGAGGGATTTGTCTGTGCTATGATTTATCCCTCATTGTTTCCCACCAGGGTTCATCTCTAATTGTCAACTGTTGCCATAGAACCTTGAAACTAACCAACAGGAAAGTGGCTTTCGCCTGAATCTACATCATAGCCATTCTGTAAAGTGTTTAGAAGGGACACTGCAGGTGAGTGTGGCAGGCATTGCCTCTGCTCCCTCTTAACAAAAACAAAAAAGATGGGTGAATCAATTAAATAAAATATTCAGAGACTTGGGAATACACGTTACAAAAACCTTCACTATGTCATCCTGTTGCTGTGTGTACTTACTGTGCCTTCCCCCTCCCTTCTCCCCCCCCCCCCCCCC